GCATCCCAATGTTGCTTACCAGGTTTAGACATGTACTTACAAACTTGACTAAAGCATGAGCTAAATCAGGACGAGTACATACCATCGCATACATCAAGCAGCCAACAGCATTAGAATACGGAACCTTTGTCATATTTTCAGCTTCCTTATCTGTCTTAGGGCACTGTTCTGATGAGAGCTTAAAGTGATTCGCCAATGGAGTGCTAACTGGTTTCGCGCTGCTCATCGCAAACCTTTCTAGCATTTTTTCAACATAACCCGTTGAGATAGCCGCAGTTTCCTTGAGTCTCTGTCCCTGCAAATTTCCATTCCAAGAATTTCTTTGCAGCACCTAAATCTTTCATATCAAATTCCTGCTCAATAAAGTTTTCAAACCGAAACATCATCCATGTTCTTCGCAGCAATCACATATCATCAACATACAGTAATAGAAAAATAAAAGAACCATCATCAAGGCTCTTAACATAGACACAACAATCATACTCACATCGGTTGTAGCCAATCTTGATCATAGGAGTCAAACGTTTATACCACTGTCTCGGAGACTGTTTTAACCCGCTAAATGCAAATCCCAACTAGCCACCAATGCAAGTACTGCTCGGATTGAAGTGTGCCTGACCACAGGAGAAAGGAGTTCATCATATCAACTCCTTTCTGCTGTGAAAAACCCTTCGCTACCAAAGCCTTGAACTTCTCCCCCTCTTTTCTGTTACTGCTGGTTTCTTCTTATACACCCATTTGCAACCAATCGGCTTCTTACCTCAGGAAGGGGAACTAACTCCCATGTGCGATTGATTCAAAGACTCCATCTCCTCAACCATGGCTGCCATCACTTGTCGTTTTCCTGACTAGTAACGGCATCATGAAAGTAACTGGATCATCACGCTAACAGTAAGTGCAAAAGATACCAAGTCTTCAAAACCCAATCTGTTCGGAGGCTTTATATTCGTCCGTCTCACCCTGTCTCTGGCGAGACTATAATCCGCAAATCATCCGTAGTGGAACCACCAGAAGTCGGTGAGAAGTTTCTGGTTTCTCAACTGGAAACTGCTCGAATCTACCACTGTCGTGTCTTGCTTCTGCGCAACATAGATGTTCATCAAAAACGACATCTCTACTAATCACAACTTTCTTCGCAACTGGATCCCAAAACTTGAATCCTTTGACACCTTTCTGTAACCCAGAAAAATGCACTCCTTCGATTTTGCATCAAGTTTGGATCTCTCATCAGCAGGTACATGCACATAAGCAGGACAACCAAAATCCGTAAGTTATCAAACTAACATCATGACCAGTCCATACCTCTTCTGCAACTTTCCAGCCAGCGATTCCCTTGGCGATCTGTTGATAAGGTAACACGCCATGTTAACAGCCTCAGCCCAGATGTTTGGGAAGCCCCGCATTCAACCGCAACTCTGGCTCTTTCATTCAACGACCTGTTCATTCGTTCCGCAACACCATTCTGTTGTGGTGTCTTGCGCACTGTAAAATGCCTCTGAATCCATGCTCCTTACAGAATTGTAGGAACTGTGATTCTGTGTACCCGTACCATTGTCAGTGAACTTCTCAAAAACTTCAGATTTCTGTTTCAAAAAACACCCAAATTTTCCGTGAAAAATCATCAATAAAAGTAACATAGTACCTAGATCCATCCAAAGACGATGTGAATCCCTTGAGTTGTGTGCTTCGCAGTCTTGAAACGGACTTTAGTCTGTTTACCAAGAACACAATACTTGCAAAAATCGAGCTTACAACTTTTGACACCATGCAACAAGTTTCTCTTGTGTAATTCTGCCATACCACGTTCACTAAGATGAGCAAGGCGCATATGCCACAATTTTGTCGTATCATCACAGGACTCAACAGAGTGAACTCCACCTGCAACGGTACTCCCTAACAATCTGTAGATATTCCCTGCAGTCATCTTGCCTTTCATCACAGTCAATGCTCCTTTAACAATCCGAATGGTTTCCCTATCCTCGTCAGCCTTAGGGATAAAACCATTCTTGTGCAAAGTGCCCAAGGAAATCAAATTCTTCTCCAAGTCTGGGATATGTCGAACACCACTCAACGTCCGAACGGGTCATCGTGCATCTTAATTCTGACATCACCAATACCAACAATATTGCAACATCGATCATCACCCAAAACCGAACCAGAATTAACCGGCCTGTATGTCGAAAACCATTCCCTATTTGGCGTGATGTGATAAGAACATCCAGAATCAAGAATCCAAGCATCCGTCAATTGTGTCGTTGAAATAGAAAGCATATCACCCTCACTGCAATCAGAAGTATCATCCTCGACCACGTTCACAGACTTGGATGAGCCATCACGCTTCTCATCAGTCTGCTTTTTCAACTTCGGACAGTCTCGCTTCATATGTCCGCCTCCTTGCACTTGTAACAGTGAATCGTCTTCTTATCCCTGGATTTGGATCTGGAATTCCGCTTCCCGGACCCACCTTCTCTGGCTTCCGTCCATGATCTCGATTACCCTTGACATATAAGCTATCGGCTTGAGAGCTTTCCCTGCATTCTGCTTCCGCTGTTGTGAGCCAACAAGGCTGCGTCTCCTCAACGTTGATAGTCTCTTTCCCTATGTAAGTAGTCACCATGTTCGTAAGAGGAAGGCAACGAACACAACAGAATCATCGCTCTGTCTTCATCCTCAATTTCACATCAAGCCGAGCCAGATCAGAAACGATTTGATTGAAGACATTCAGTGTTGCGCCAAATCGTGTCCTGCATCTTCAGCCCATACAGTCGCTGCTTCAGATACAGTTTTGTCGTTAAGGATTTGGACATAACTGACTTTCCAACTTCCTCCAAATTTCGTTTGAGACGATAGATGCATGACGTGATACATGACCTCGTCCGCCAAGCATAATGGTTCCTGCCGCTCGCTGCTGCAATTCTTCCCAATCTTCCTCATCCATCGACGCCGGCTTTATAGGTCGCAAAGCCTTCAAGATCCCTTGCTGCGCCAATAGATCCTTCACCTCGTTTGCCATAATCCGAAGTTACCCTGACCATCGAATTTCGCGACTTCGAATTTTGCTCCTGACATCTGATACCAATTGTTGACGAAAACGGGTAAAGAAAACGAAAGAACACGAGAATTTTACGAGGTTCGGCAATGTGCTTACGTCCTCGGTGCCTAGGCGGCGCTAGAAGTTTTATTCAATAATATTTTAGGTCTAGGTTACATCTCTATTTATAATAGAAAACCCTGGTACATAATTACAAAATCAACCCTGTACCGTACCGGGGGGGCTACGCCCCCGCACCCCCAACCCTAATTCGTAACCCCACAACGAGACTTTCTTTGTGAGGACAGTTGATGTTCGCTTCGCTCACTCCGCTCCATCTCCTGTCCTCTTTACTGGTATATTTATGAGCCATACCTAACACAACCTCATCCTCTTTTGTCTATGCATTCATAGAGCTGGTAAGGACTGGGTAATCTGCATCCTGAGGTTTGGATCAGCATGTTCGTTTGCTTCATCTAGTCCTTGGGATGCAGATTACCTCTTCCTTTCTGGCAATCCAAAGCTTCTATTTTTGTTTCAATTTTCAACCCTACATGGAAGACTCCACTTAACCTTCAAACTATTTCTCCTTCTCTGATGTTTGTGTTGCTTCTGCTATTTATTAAGGCATCCTTTTTGTAGGTTCAAGTTCTCGAGCAGTGGAGTTTCTTCATATACCAGAAATATAACCTGGTGGCCACAGCCTGCACTACACAATAGGAATGTGGCTAACAATAAGAACCGGAGTGCATTCTTATTAGACTCGTTGTATTTCCTTTAAAACCTTACCATGTCTGACATGCTATAAACAGCCTTCAACTGATATCCTCGAAAGTCTCGTTACTATGATTTCAAGAGAAATTATTCTATCAACTCTTTCTGTTACGTAACTAAGCATGGGATCCAAATCCGACGGATTCTGATCGGGTCGGGTCGGATTTAAAAAAAAGTCGGGTTTGGGTTTGGTCGGTTCAGAATTTGGTTTAGGGTGAAAAATACCAGACATGAAAAAAATTATAATTTTACATTATATATTTAGAAATAATTACAATAATACCCCTCTATATATTATTTTTAATTAAATCGTTGTTTTATTGAATAAAATAATATTTTATTATTATTTCGGATCTGATCGGATCGAATTCGGATTTTATCTCAAAAAATTGAGTTGAATTTGTGTCGGGTGGAGTGTATATATTTTCGGGTCGGGTGAAAGATATAAAATTTTCGAGTCTAATCGAGTTGACGAAACCCGACCCATGCCTATCCCTAATCCCAACTCCACAATAATTTTCCCCATATCATTTACACATAAAATTTTTGTTTGTCAAATTAGTTTCTCCATTTCATTAATGCATATCAAAATTAAATTTATATTTCAAAATTATTTTTAGAATCTTCGTTAATAGATTAAAAAGTTTTTACCTTTGTTTATCCAAATTTTTTTCTTTATAATCATTGAAGTTGAAAATTTGAAAATAAGAGACTTGTATTCTTAAGAACTAAAATGGATAAACAAAGGGTTCAACTAAAAAACTAAAACAAAAGCACTCGACCATTCATCATTTGACGACCACCATTTAATCTGCAAGACTTCCTCTGATAAACTGACAAGATAGACGATCGAGAGAAAAAATGACCATCTCAGCTGTAAAACTGTTAAACTAACAACATAAACTGTTATGTTGCAATCATTGACTATCCATGAAAAAGTCATTAGAAAAAAGATTTCCACAGCACAGTTTCCACTAAATCAAAATCTTTTTCATCTTCTTTCCCCTGTCCATAATTAAGGGTTATATAAACAAATGAACTTCATTTTAATTGCAAAATGCGACCAATGAGATTGCAAAGGTTAAAAAACATGAAGAAAAGATGTTCAAAAAAAAAAGAAGAAAAGAAACGACAATTATTGTGGATAACTTCACCGACTTATATCAATTACACTGGACCATTAGCAGCCTTATTTATTTCTGCAATTATTTCCAAACTTATCTCTCTTTTCGGGGAAAAAACATTAGATTTCATTACTTCAAAAGGAAATCTCTTACAATCAAGGTTAAGGTACACAACGTTACAAGAATGAGGAAAAGTCTAAATTTTGTACACTTACCATGCCGGGCAGTGTCCAGTGTTATCATGTTTTGAGCCCCAGTTTTCATTATTCACTATGATAAGCACAAATTACAAAGTCGTTACACCCTAAGATCGCCTTTCTTTTAAATTTGAGAATAGAAACCATTTCCAGAACATCTGAAGCTATATAAGCACATAAAACTGACAATCAAAGAACATGGGTGATCTCAAGTTGTGGAACCAGCAACCAAAAAGTTTACTTGCAATGTTGCACATGTGGTCAAATTGACACATCCAAGGTTAATGCCAATGGCTAGGAGGATGGAAGCGTACATTTTCTTCACAAAGATTCCTTAATAAAAGATGTAAAATTAGAAGGGGGAAGAAAGCACCCTACAAGTAGGTGGGTCAATGTGATCATTTACCTTGCAATTCCAAAATCTGCAATCTTTAAAACTGCACTGCCGTCATTTGTTGAGAGAAGAAGGTTCTGTTCCAGAAACAACAACATTAGAAAGAGAACCTTTTGAAAGAAAACTTTTCAACATGAACAAGGCTAGTCTACACCAAAGGATATTTACGCAACTTCATCACATTCCATGATATGGTTGAAGTGCAAACCCGATTTAATGGGGGAAAAGGTATAATCTCTTACAACTAATTCCTATTTGATCACAGTAACAGTAAGGAAATAATGTTTCTTTACGAACAGGCTTGCCCTTTTCCTTAATAGGCATAAGTAGACATAAAGTTATATCCTAACTCAACTTGAACCACAGAGAATGAATTATACCTGAGGCTTTAGATCCCGATGTATAAGATTATTGTCACGGTGAACTTGCAAACCAGCCGCTACAAGAAGATAATTATAGAAGCGTAAGAGACCAGATTCAGTGGTTAAGGAAAATAAACGGCAAGACAAGGTCTGCAGCATACCTAGTTGCTGCATGAAATGCTTTGCAGTTGCCTCAGGGACATTTCCATGGCGTGTAATATACATGGAAAGGTCACCCCCCTTGCAGTACTCCAATACAAGGTGTATCTTCCCAGGAACCTATTTAAACCAAAAAAGATTTAAGATATATATCATATAATGGCTGATATATCAAGTAAAAAGAAGAAGAAAATGGCATATCAACATTATCTAACAACTTTAACTTCAAATCAAAATTATTTTACAAGTGACGTTTTCCAATCCATGGATCGAAGGGCACAACATAAAACTACTTCAGCAGAACGCAAAATATTTTAGATAGATATGAAAGCCGAAGCTTCACAAACAAATACATGAAAAATAGCGTCAGCTTCCCTTGACCACTGAAAATTTACCAATTGTTTCTCAATGATCTCGAACTTCAAAGCTTCTCTGTTAGTATTAGTTGTTGTGGAGTTAACGGAAAACACCATGAAATTCCATCTCATTTGGTCTTCCAAACAGGAAACTCTCTACTTAATAGAAGCTTAAGTAAAAACAATATATAGATTGACTGAACATTCCACCATTGTTAATCCATTCATTATCTGCTTCTACCAAATACAAATGTTGCTAAATAACACCCTTTTTAACGGAAAGTGAGCACGATTTTTCAATCAAAAATACATTCTTCTACCTAATACTCGTTAGGCTCCCACCAAAAACACCTTGGTATGTATCCTGTGGTCTCTTTACTGTGATATGGAAACTTGCCGTAGCACTTCTTGGTAAATCACCTTGTGTATTTCTTCTCATTTCCTACCTTAAGCTTGTTATTGTTAAATCTAAATCTCTCTCTTTCAGCCATTCTCCTTCATGTAAGTTTTAGAACACCAAACCTGAAGGCTCGTCTTAACACTTTTCGTGAGGAGTTTTGTGCAGTTTGGCGCAATTACAGTGAGCTATGAGCTCACAGTCTATATCATGTGAGTATGCATCCGATTTTTATGTTGGTTTAGTTTATATTTGATATTTATTAAGGTTTTCATTTGATTAAGAGTTTAGTGTTGTTACTCTTGTTTTACTTTTATACTTTTAAGCTGTTAACTTGTTCATGTTCACCTCTTTCTATTGATTATGGAATATTGTGTATATTCACATCACATGTTACTCATATATTCCATGATTGTGGACTTTTTAGTTCATTATCATGATATGCACATGGTGCATTAGCATCTCCTTCAAATTCTCTTATTTATTTGTGTTCTCTTTTCCATACATGCTTGATGTTACGACACCTCTGAATAATGTCACTAGTTGCCGCATCTCTTTAACCGTCATTTAGTGCTTGATTTCCATCCAAGTAAATCTGTTATTGAAATGGAACCTAGTATTCTATTTCTAGGGTTAATACAAGTTGATAAATGGTGTCTTGATTAATTGAAAAGGGGTACTCAAATGATTTGTCTTTAGCTATTGTTGATGTCTTTGGGCACATCCTCGACAAAAATATGGCTCTAGCAACCCCCATTCCTGTCCCAAGGTTAAAAAAGGAGAACAAGACATTGAGTTGAATATAGATACGCAAATGAGTCATCTTTAGCTGTTCTTGAATGCTTTGGTCGTCACTGCCACTGGGGTTCTACATTATGATAGTACTTGGCAACTCCTTGCATGTGGTAGAACAGTTTTACGGACTAGAAATCAAACTGGTTGTTGAATATTCAATATTGGCAGCCATAATTGTTGAAGTTTAGTGGCAGCCGACGGCTAAATGAAGAAAACATGAGCTGCTAATTTGTTCAAAATTATGCAACCACTTTATTTGAAATAAAAATGAGGAAAATGTAATTTTAGTCATTGCACTTTAGGGTATTTTCAAAGATTAGTCCATAAGCTTCAACTATAAATACCCTAGCTCATTTAGCTTTAAAATCATCTCAAACATCCCAAAATCCCAAATCATTTCTTTCTCCCAATACTAGAGAGTTTTTCTTGTGAGTAATGAGTGTTTTGTAAACACCTGTAAATTTTCTCTCTTAGTAAAAAATCTGCAGCAGTCCGGAGACGTAAGTAAATTGGCTGAACTCCATTATCAATTTCGGGTATTATTTTTCAGCTTTTATTTCGCATTCTCACTAATATAGTTATACGAAAATTACTCGTTCTCGGTTTATTTCCCAACAACTGGTATCAGAGCTTTTGGTTGTGAATTTTTCAGTTTTTCTGTGAGGTTACTATTTACGTGAATAGTAACCTCGTGAATAGCAAAAATTTTGTCGGCGATACGATTTTATCGACAGAGGTGTTCTAATACACGGTGGTTCGCGGAAATTATCAGAAATGATCCAAAGGAAGCCATATTCGAGTGGGAGCGATGGATTTGAGAAACGAAGTTGATGAGCTCAAGAGGGAGATGCTCAGATGCAAGGGAGCAATGAGTGAATGGGATGCGCTCAAGACCTTCTTGGAAGGACTTAGACTAGGGGCGATGCTCGGGGAAGAGCAAGGAAATGCCCAGAGACTTTCGGAGGCCATAGCTGTAGCTGGAAAGCTAACTGAGCTTGCAGGTGACAAGCCAAGTTGCGATGTGTCATCCAGACCCATGTCCAGAGATAGTGGCAACGATGGGGGAGACCGGGAAAAGGTGCAGCAGGGAAATGGTAGAGAAAGCTCTTCGAACGGCCATAGTGAGCCAACGACTGTTCGTAGCCAAGGAAAGCCATTGAGAAAGAATGGCAAGGTTAAGTCCGGTGTAAAGAAGAAGAGAGCAAGGAAAATTTGAAATGCTACTTCTGTGATGGTCCTCATTTGATTAGAGGATGTCCGAGAAGCGTCGCCTTACAACCATCATGAAGAGGATGGAAGAAGGAGAAGGAGAAGTAGCGGGAGTTAGCGCGGTCGCAAGTGTTAAAGATACCAAGCCAGGAAAAGGACTTGGTCAGTTTGAGGGGATCAATGCGGCCAAGCAAGGATCGAGACGAGACAAGGCTATTGATGTTGAAGCAGCCGAACCCGGAAGAAAATGTGACGAGACTGCGGGTGTCAAAGCAGTCAAGCACAAGAAGGGACCCAGTGCGATAACAAGAGATAAAGCTGTCAAGTTGAGGGTGCAAAGTGAGCAAGTCTACTCACAGTATGTCAGGATGGAGGCGTGGTCCAAGTTGAGGCGTCTCAGACATAAAGGGACCCTTAAAGAGTATGTGATCCGATTCAGAAGACTCATGCTCAAAGTCCCAAGTTTGACTGAAGAAGATGGGTTCTTCACCTTCATGTTCGGATTGAAGCCATAGGCGAAGAAAGTGTTGGAGCGAAGGGAAGTCAAGGAGCTGTCTAAAGCCTTGACAACCGCCGAGTCCATCAAATAATTTAGAGTCAAGAAGAACAAGACTTCCAAAGCAAAGCCCAAACCCAAGTGTAGCAGCAAGAGATTCCATGATGAAGGCAAGTCAGAGGATGATGATGTTGTTCCTCGAGTGGCAGAGAAAATCCACTCAATGATGAACCAGATGGTGAGTATGGGGAAGATGTGTGCAATCTTGGCACAAGTTCGAGTGTCAAAGATGCTAAGCCGAGGGTAAGAGTCGAGCAAACGAGGGGGCGCAGACTTAAGATGCCAGAAGTGTTGCAAAATTACTCGAGGGGAGCCGAGTCATCCAAGGTGATGGATGAGCCCAGGATCGAGTTGTCCAGAGAAGAGGACGAACCCAGGATCGAGGGAGCGTTGAGAGTTGGCTCAATACGGTTAATTTCTACCAAGGCAAGTAGAAGCCAAGTGCAAGAGGAGTTAGCCATGTCCAAGGAGTTTGCCGAGCATGTTCGTGTAGTGAACATGGCTTCAGAGACCATCCTAAGAGAATGATCGAAAGAGGGGCTTACCGAGGATGTTTAAGTGAGGAACAATCCTTCAAAGACTAGTAGACAAGAGTCGAAGGGGGCCAAGACGTTGAGGGACAACGCAACCGTGGAGAAACTACCCATTTGCAAGGTGGGAAGTAAACTCCAAACTTCGTGTTAGAATGGAGGAGGCAAGAAGATGCATCGGACTTTACCGTGAGAAAGCGTTGATGCATGATGGAGCAAAGAACTCCAATGAAAAGGGTTCAATGCGAGGAGTGTCAGACTTCAGGGAGTAAGAAGGTCTGACGCAGATCTAGAATAACAAGACCAGAAATACTGTTGCATCGATCGAGGTGTGAAGACAGATTAAAATCAGTCTTCAAGTGGGAGATTGTTGAATATTCAATATTGGCAGCCATAATTGTTGAAGTTTAGTGACAGCCGGCAGTTAAATAAAGAAAACATGAGCTGCTAATTTGTTCAAAATTAGGCAGCCACTTTGTTTGAAATAAAAATGAGGAAAATACAATTTTAGTCATTGCACTTTAGGGTATTTTCAAAGATTAGTCCCTAAGCTTTAACTATAAATACCCTAGCTCATTTAGCTTTAAAATCATCCCAAACATCCCAAAATCTCAAATCATTTCTTTCTCCCAATAATAGAGAGTTTTTATTGTGAGTAGTGAGTGTTTTGTAAACACCTGTAAATTTTCTCTCTTAGTAAAAGATATGTAGCAGTCCGGAGACGTAAGCAAATTGGCTGAACTCCGTTATCAATTTCACCATGGTCTAGTCAAAATACTTGGTCTCCATGTCAAATGATCGTCTGATCAAACCCTTCCAAGTTTAACCTACCTCTTTAACCACTGACGTAGTAAAACTTGGGAGAGCTACTTGTCCCAAAATTTGCTACAAATATCATTTCTGAACTCTGATATATTTCTTCTCTTATGACTTCTAGCTTCAACAGCCCTTCTCTAATTGATTTGTGTTAGTACAAGTTCATCGAGTTCCATTTTATGATCCTGATGGTCGATGTTCGATTTCATGCTGCTGTTGAAGATTCTGCGAAATAATTTCTTTAGCTGGGTTAAGATGAAGAAGGCTTCCAATCTTTTCATACAAGAGACAAGTTGTAAATTGCTGGGACCTCTTGTCTCTGTAAATCTGTTTTTAGTCCTTTTCGAAGAGACATGGAATGAGTATCTTAAAAGTTCCACTCAATCCATGACGATAACAAGTTAAAAACAAAGGTTTTAATCCACGCAAGGAAAGGTTCTGGACAAAGTTCATGTCGTTACAGGCAATGCTTACTTACAATTGAAATGATTAAATACATCAAAGCTGAAATTTTGAAATGGCCAACAGCCACCTGCTGTGTACCCTCCATCCGCGGAAATAACTTGTCCGGTAATGTACGAAGCAGCCGGTAGGCAAAGAAACGCCACTAAGGACGATATCTCTTCAGGTTCCGCCATTCTCGGCATTGCTGTTCCGGCGATGAGCCTGCAGAGTTTCTCATGATAATGTGCGTTTGTATTCAGAGTCTGAAATGTTAAAACCAAATCAGCATCAAAAAGATGTCTCTGCAATTCTAGATTAAGATAAAGATTAGAAGGTGAATTTACTGCTCTTTCGATCGGGGTTTTGACACCCCATGGTGAAACAGTGTTGGCCCGAATGTTATCCTTTGACCACTCGCATGCCAAGTTCTTTGTTAATTAGTTGATAGCTCCTGGAATCACAACACAATGGTTAATCTGCAAGATTCTAGCTAACATCTACATGGATCATTCGATTAGACTGGCCGGGTTGGCTTTGAGTCAGATTAGAATCGAACTCGAGTTATACAAGTTGAATTTCGGGGTCACATGGCTAGACTACATCCAATATGGAAAGTAAAAACCTTTAGATGCAGCATAGGCAGATAAACCAGGGAGGGCCAATGAACCAGCTACAGAGGAGATAAACACAATGCTTCCATATCCAGATGCTTTTAGGAAGGGATACGCAGGCTGAGAAAGATGATAAGGAGCGTCAAGGTTTGTACTCATCACTGTTGTGTAGTCTTCCAGATTATGTTCCTCGAAGGATTTGAGTTTTGTAATTCCTGCATTATTCACCTGAGGAGAAGCTAAGTGCTTTCAATTTGAATACAAAAACTCTAAAATCGAATCGATTCAACCCTTTGATCGGATCTAAAAGAACAAATTCTTAGAACTAAAAACTACTTACAAGGATGTTGAGTTTTCCGTGGAAAACAGAGGAGACAGTCTGCATAAGCTTCTCTCTGAGATCTCTAGATGAGAGATCACAAACAGAACCAGTCACTTTAAACCCTTTGGTCTGCCATTCTTGCAACCTTTCATTAAGCTCTGGCTGGTTCCTGGAACATGTGTGAACTACTGCCCCAAGTGCTGCCAGTTCTTCCACCACAGCAAATCTGAAATTATACAATTAAAAGATTAAAATCATTGTTCAATCACTGACTGCATAATTTTAACTCGTATATTTCTTAGTACCAGAATGAACTGAGGCTTCATATTATGCTTATGAAAAAATAAACACAAAGAAGAAGAAGAAGAAGAAGATAGATGGAGGTCGAACCCTATGCCTCTTGTTCCACCAGTCACAAGAGCCGTCATGCCCTGAAGAGACCATCTCTGATTCTTACAACCTGCTACTGCTCCAGCCATCTCAGCACTGCAACTTTATTTTCTTCTTTCTTCAGTTTTTTGAACGAATAGAAACAGTAATTAGAGACGAATTTTAGAAACTTAAACATAGAATGTGGATTAATAGTTTATTGTATTAAATTATTCATCGCCTACTGTCAACAGAAAAAGACAGCAGACAGGTCGAAAACATTGAGCTGCATGCTTTTTTTTTCTTTTTTAAATATGGAGGTCCTGGAATTCTATCTCAACACTTGATTCCAGAAACTTGATGGGGGTGAATTTGAGAAGAAAAACCCTTTTACCATGATTTGATTCGGAAGGATTCCAAGAACATAACATATTTTATTCTGAAATTGTATAAGATGACAAGATTGAAGATCTAATCATCACATTTCAGAAAGGCAACAGCATCTTTGACCTTGTAATTGGATCAAAATTTTAAATTACAATCACTTCTTTTTTTAATTTTTACCACTTACTTTTCTAAAATTATATATATTTATCAATTTACCATAAAATAGTCAAATAATTAAAAACGTACAACTTCTAAAAGCTGAATATCAAAATAACCAAATAAATAAAATTACTACAAATGTAGTTTATTAAAAAAAACTTTGTTAACGAGCACTGAATTTTTATCACTTTCAGAATACAACATATAATATATGCATAATTATTAAGTTATAATTAGATACTATGACATTTTACCTAATGGGGTTGACATCAGTGCATTTTTGTTTGATAAGGTTTTTTTTTTATCAAATATCTTCAGTTCTTTTTTTTTTTGAATTTAAAATGTCAACCATTTATTAGAAGATATGTCTGGTACATCTCATAAGCTAACCACTAGAAAACAAAATCAGCTGGACATCAGTAACCGAAACCAAAACACCTTTATAAGAAAACTAAATTAAAATCTATACTAAATGAACAGATGTTGGCCTTTTAGACTTCCCGCACACAACAGATAAGGCTGGAGAGAATCGTTTTGAGAAAGGAACAAATGTATAAATAGATCCTAGCAACTCACCACGCAACATGACTTATCTTTATCAAGGGGGTCTAACCAGCGACGATCCTCCGATGCTTATGACTCCACTCGCCAAGGAACTTCCTCCACCCAAAACAGATCAGTCAAACCCAACGACTTCTCAGTAGCTAGGATATGGGTTGCCATGTTTGCACTTCTTCGAACGAATCGGTATGTACACAAACGGAAACTTTCTACTTTGCCTTTTGCTTCCATGATTAAAACACTAACGACTGATGAATCTTCCTATCTTGTTTTTAATTTTTCAATGATGGTTTTGGAATCACCTTCGACGGCAATCTCGACCATAGTAAATGTCCTAGATCTTTAATTAAAATATGAGGATGCGTAAAACCCTAAATTTTTAATCTAAAAACCCTATTTGGAAGGAAAAAAAGCGGCCATATGAAAGCCAGTAATAAAGCCCATAATAAAGTTGACTGTATTTTGTCCAATAAGTAGACGACACATTATCCAAATGGAGGAACTTTCTGGGCTTATGCTCCGAAGTTGACCTTTCAGTTTTCCTTTCCATAATGTGACCAAATAAAACAAAAGTGTTCCTTTCCATAATGTCAAGAATCACCAAAACTCAGATTTAGAAGAAAGAAACGATCAGAGACTTTACAGGGATTCGATATCTTCCTTGTTCGTTCCAGGACCTCCAAAATCTACATCCAAACAATCATTTCTCTTCCATCAGAGGAAACGATGTTGGACCCTTTGAAAACCTGGAAATTCCTTGTTTCATCCATCACCATCAAACCTGTTGATCTCTTAGTTTTCTTGTTCAAAACAATTCTAGCTATTCTCACCCTTGCTTCCATTTCTCACTTTTTTCACTTTGCTTTCTCTAATCAATCTATTTGGTTCTCTTCTTCTATCTTCAATAATAACCAGCAACAAAATTTCTTTGCCGGTCAGTCTTACGCAACCACCAATTTGTCCCATGTCCTGTTCGGCATCGGTGGTTCAGCCAAGACCTGGAACGATCGACGCCGTTACTCCGAACTCTGGTGGAAGCCTAACGTTACCCGCGGATTCGTTTGGCTCGACGACAAGCCTCCTGGCGGTGAAAACTTGCCGATAACGTCCCCTCCTTACAAGATCTCCGAGGGTACTTCCAGATTCAAGTACACATGCTGGTACGGGTCACGGTCGGCCGTACGGATGGCTCGGACAGTGAAGGAAAGCTTCGAGCTTGGATTGGATAACGTGAGATGGTTCGTGATGGGAGATGACGATACGGTGTTTTTCCTGGAAAATCTGCTGACCGTTTTGAACAAATACGACCACAACCAAAAATGTATTACGTAGGTGGGAACTCGGAGAGCGTGGAGCAAGACGTGATACACTCTTACAACATGGCGTACTGCGGCGGCGGATTCGCCATAAGCTACGCTTTGGCAGCCGAGCTCGTTAAGGTCTTAGACGGCTGCATTGATCGGTACGCGTCGTTTTACGGATCGGGCCAGAAGGTTCAAGGTTGCATGAGCGAGATTGGAATTCCGGTCACTAAAGAGCTTGGTTTCCATCAGGTTAACGTTAATCATGAAAACAATGGTCTAATTCGGATTTTAGTCCCTTAAACAAATAATATGGATTGAATTATGCAAAATTAACATAAAAGATCTGATCTCAAATGTCACTGACTTGCGTAATTACAGGCTGAAATTAATAGGTGGACTAAAGCCGTAATTAGTTTAAAAGGAAACAAAGTCATTAACTTGCTGAATTACAGGTTGATATTCAAGGGAACCCGTACGGTTTATTAGCGGCACTTCCTTTGGCAACATTGGTGTCACTTCACCATCTCGAATACGTTGAACCCATATTTCCGGGTATGACCCGAATCGAATCAATTAAGAAGCTAATAACCGCTTACGAAAAGGATCCAAGTCGGGCCCTACAGCATAGTTTCTGTTACGACTTGAAGCGTAACCGGTCCATTTCAGTGTCGTGGGGCTACACCGTGCAGTTGTACCCGTATCTAGTGACAGCCAATAAGCTTGAAACGGCGTTTTCAACGCTCCAATCATGAAGGACATGGAAAAACGGCCCCTTCACTTTTAACACCCGACCCGAGAAAGACCCGTGTGACAGACCCGTCACGTATTTCTTGGATCATTCGGAGAGCGTCAATGGGGATAGGACCCTAACCAGATACGCAAGGCACGTTGAAGAATCGGTCAAAGAATGTGAGTGGCCGGACCATGCTCTGGCTTCGGGCGTGAAATTCATCGGCGTCTCGAGTGCCAAGTTGAACTCTCAATTTTTAGTTGGCTAAACACAATTGCGGTGGCATCTTGTTGTCGTGGAGTAGTTGGCTGCCATTTTAATTAACTTGTTAAATGGGGTTAGCACAAAAATGGGTGACCAATTTGGTCCACTCACCACACGACACCGGTCCACGGAATGCCAAAAAAAACAAATCTTGACTTTGTGTGGGCTGCCTTCCACTTTGTCGATCTTTTATTTATTTTATTAAAACACTTCGACGTCACGAGATGAATTTTGATAAAGTCTTAAAGCCTAAATGAGACTTTTCACCTCGATCGTGTAAAGAGGGTTAAAGTTTAGACAAGACGTGGTGCACGTACAAAGCAACAAGGGAACGTGTGCTTGATTTTATGCAATATTTGTGGTGTCCAACAGTTTATGCGCATAATATGTTGAAATTTTGATATGTGAATGACACTGACACATTTGGTTGAAATAAACAGGCACCACGTAGACAATGTTGTGAGGTCATCAACGGCGGAGAAGGGGCGGATCACCTGGTTCAGGTCAAGATCAGAGGCTGCCATAGGTTCGAGACGGTGATTCCTCCGTAGAACGTGCCAAATTAACATTGACCACAAAGGGGCATATGTCCAAGGGGTAATGCCAATTGCCTGCCTTGTAAATAAGAGATAATTCTGCAGTTGGACTATATCTCCCCAGTTTTACTTAACCACTTAACCCCGAAGCCATTTTTACGTTTTCAATAGTTATGTTGTTATTTTCATACTATAATTTTACAAACTTTATGAAAAGTAAATTATGAGAATTTCATTTATTTTGTTTATTAAATATAATGATGAGAACTTTTAACGTCCTGGGGGCTTATATATATATATATCATAAAAAGTATTGGTTTAAGATTCAAAAAGTCCTTAAAATTTAAAAATAATCTATCAAGTTATTGAATATTTTCACTCAATTAAATCCTTAAATTCAAAATTATTTAATGTGTTCATCTGATGAGATCTAAATCTAATAATATCTTAGGTCAATAGAAAAATCAACACATTTTGAGCAACCACGCTCAAAAGCAAATGAATACGATTCCTAAAGATTGTGTTTGACAAATATGGTTCAACACATATTTGTCACTTCTTCAAGCTTCTGGTTCGAATGAGATAATGATTTTTATTAAGGCAAGAACTTTCATAACAAGTGTTATAGAGACCCCATCATGATGAATGTAGAAAGGCATTTGGTGCATGCTTTCATGTGGTGCAAAGGACCATTACCTATAAGATTGTCCAAAACATAGACTAAATTTGTAGCTCCAAAGAAAATTTCATCAATATCAAGAGGTAGTAGACTCACTATAATACTTTTTTTTTCAAGATTCAAATGTTTTTTTAGTAGATTTTTGAAGTATGTGTGACATCCATCGATTTGCAATAAATTTTTAATTCGGGATTCAAATGTTTCTAAGGTATAATGTTCTCTTAAATAGAATCGGCTTTCAATTAATTTTTTAATGCATTTTGAAACACCTTAATCGAATATCGATGACTCAAAATATGATTATTTTAGCGAAGACATCACGTGTAGAATATTGAATACGAGTCTACTATGAGATTTTAAATTTATTACGATTTTTTAATTGTTTTATTAATTATTTATAATTAAAGTAAACCTATAAATGGATGTGTAATGGAGAGGAAGAAAAAAGAATAGGAGAAACACTAGAAAGAAAGAGATCAATAGAATTTTTATTTCAAAATTATTTCTTGATGATCTTTTTTATTCTAATATTTAGATCGATTTCTACTTCGATTCTTATAAATTTTTATTTTAGTGTTAATTTCATATAGATAAGTATTGATGCATCTTTTAATTCTTATCTCCTTTTATTTATTTTATATAGTATACTATTAATATATAAGACATTACATGCCCATTTTCTACTACTTTTTATATTTTTATATTATTATTAATATTCAGTTAAAAAGATTATTTTTGTCCCTGTAGTACACTCAATTTATCACTTTAGCACCTATCATATTTTCACTTCAATTTAACATTCGAAGTTACTCAATCGCATCATTCTATACTTTACCCTAACTTAAAACCCTAAATTATAAACCCTAAACCCTAAAACATAACCCCATAACCTCTAAATAGTGGCGGATGTACACTTGTGTGAGGTGGGCACGTACCCACCCTGAAATTTTATTGAGTTGAATTTTTTTCTTAAATTCAAAAAAAATTCTCTTAATATAAGTGTGCCTACCCTGAAAATTTGCGTGTCTACCTTGAAAATTTATCGTATCTATATAGATATAAAAATTTTAAATCAATTTTATCCTAATTTGAATTAATTAGATTTGTGACTCATATTTTATTATCCTAATTTGATTTTATTTTTTTAAATCAAGCTGAGTTGCATACATTTTTCTAGTTCAATTAAACGTAAATCAATTTTAAGCCTAGTAAAAGAATACTGTTAAATTCCAAGTTAGAGTACATACGTTTAAAATCATAAGTTTTTGAAAGCTCTTTTAAAATAGAATAAGATATTGTAGTATGTCAATCTTGATTTTATGATTTATTTATTTAATATCTCAAATTTATCAGTTTTGAAAATAAAATTATTATAATTTTATCTTAATTTATAGACATCTAAAGAGAATTTAATGTTTTTAATTTTTTATTAAAATTTTAGTGGAAACTTATTGATATTTTTTAGGTAGCGCTTTACATGATAAGTTAACAAATCCGATAAAGCGTCTAATAATAATAAATTCGGTAGAAATAATAATGTTTTAGGTAATTTTTATTAATTTTATTAAAAAAAATTAATAATAAAACCAATAATATTTTTTAACCGTATATTAGCCCGTAATATTTTTTTTAAGGTAGTAATTGTTAAAAAGAAGGTTCAAAAGAATATTGCAATAATTGATTTCACGTCCAATGTTTACAAGCCAAGTGGGGAATGGAAGAATCTGTGATTGCCAAACGACTTCTTTCAGAGAGTGCTAAGAACTCATCACTTCCGTTCGTTGACTCGGTCCACCCCGCAAACGTGGGTTACTCATCTTCATAGGGTACGTTGAAGTGTTGAACACTTCAACTACATATTTATGATTGTTATAGTAATCGACTAGATATTATCGATTGAACTATGATAGTTATGAAATTATATATTTTTCTAATAGTTTAAATTACTATAAGACGATATTTATTTAAAATATTTTTTTAATTTATTAATAATACATTTTATAACATTACATGTTTAATCATAAATCTTTTAAAGAAATTAATATTTTATTTTATAGCAAAAGTAATATGCTTTTTAATGTATTAAATGCGCAAAAGGAAAAAACTTTGAACCGTTTCCACACTCGTTACGTTGGCCATGTGACCATTGCTCAAATTGTCCCAATGTTACATGTTTCTTTGCTTATAAACCCACAAGACAACTTTATCATTACATTTCTTTCAAGTTCCACCAACCTTTTTCTAATTCAACAAAAGTCATTAATGGCACCTTTCCAACAAAAAAGCATCCTAAAATGCTCATATTTTTATCACCAAAATTATCCAACCATGGTTTACTTCCTTGCACTCTTCTTCCTCTTAGTCCAAGCTTCTACATCCCAACCCACCGAGCTATTCTTTCCCGGGTTTTCAGGCACGAAATCCGACAACTTAACACTAACGGGAGCTGCAAAGATTGAAGAAAATGGCATCCTGTGCTTAACCGATGACACCGGTCCTTCACTTGGTCACGCTTTTTACAGCTACCCATTTAGACTTAAGAGTTGGACAAAAAGCAAAGCTTTTTCCTTTTCTACCTCCTTTGCTTTCGCTATAGTTCCCGAGTATAAGGGGATAGGCGGTCACGGCCTTGCTTTCGTAATCGCCACTTCTAAAGATCTCAAAGCACTTCCGAGGCAGTATCTCGGAATCCAAAACGCGACCGAAGTCGAAGACAGCCCCTCGAACCATGATGTCGTGGCGGTCGAGTTTGACACGGCTCAGGATCTTGAGTTCCGAGACATCAACGACAACCATGTCGGCGTCGATATCAACAGCTTGAACTCGAATGCCTCGGTTCCTGCAAGTTACTACACGCATGGTTCCACGAAGCAAAATCTTACTCTCATGAGTGGAAAAGCAATCCAAGCTTGGGTCGATTATGATTCGGATGAAAACATGCTCAATGTGACGATCGCACCAAATTCAACAAGACCGAGATTCCCCATCTTGTCGTTTCATGTAGATCTTTCACCGTATTTTCACGAGTTTATGTACGTTGGTTTCTCGGCTTCGACCGGGTTGCTTGCTAGCTCGCATTATATCTTAGGTTGGAGCTTTAAAATCAACGGAGAAGCTCAGGGTCTTGATCTATCTTCTTTACCTTCACTTCCTGAACCGCCAAAGAAGCATACAACTTTAATTGTGGTTGTCTCGGTTTCATCAGCCATTCTAGTTATATTAGCCGTATCCGCTGCCATTTATTTCGTTATCAAAATCAAGAACGAAGATGTTATCGAAGATTGGGAGCTGGAGGTTGGACCAAAACGGTACTCTTACCAAGAACTCAAGCTAGCAACCAAAGGCTTCAGTGCCCAAAACTTACTCGGCCACGGTGGTTTCGGCAGTGTTTACAAAGGGAATCTTCGAGATTCAAGGACAATGACTCAAGTGGCTGTCAAACGAGTTTCTCATGAGTCGAAGCAGGGTTTACGTGAATTCCTATCGGAAATCGCTAGCATCGGACGACTCCGTCATCGGAACTTGGTTCAATTATTGGGTTGGTGTAGGAGAAGAGGTGATCTCCTTCTTGTTTATGACTTAATGGCTAATGGCAGCTTAGATAAGTTTTTGTTTGACGAGCCTAAAACGACCCTGAATTGGGAGCATAGATTCAGGGTTATAAAGGGAGTCGCTTATGGACTTCTCTACTTGCATGAAGGATATGAACAAAGTGTGATCCATAGAGATGTTAAGGCCAGTAATGTTCTACTAGACGATGAATTGAACGGAATATTAGGAGATTTTGGCCTAGCAAGGTTGTACGAACACGGTTCGAATCCTAAAACAACTCGGGTCGCCGGCACGTTGGGGTATTTAGCACCGGAGGTATCCCGGATGGGAAAGGCGACAACAAGCTCGGACGTATATGCCTATGGTGCACTCTTACTCGAGGTTGTGTGTGGACGTAGGCCGATTGAGCCTAAGGCATCACCTTTAGAATCAGGGTTGGTTGATTGGGTACGGGAGAAGTACAGAGAAGGCAGCGTCTTTGATGTGGTTGACACTAGGCTCAATGGCCAATACGGTGAAGATGAAATGTTGATGGTGCTTAAATTAGGCCTAATTTGCTCAAATGACGTGCCTGTTGCACGGCCTAGCATGAGGCAAGTAGTGAAATATCTTGATGGGGAATCCGAGTTACCGGACCATTCTGTTTCTGTCTCGCCATCGTCATATGGTATTAGAGTTTGAAATCTATTAGATTGTTTCCTTGTCTCCTTCTTGTTTTCACCAAATCTAATGTGGTTTCTCGTGTGCGCATTATTGTATTCAATGGAATTATAAATCAGTTGGCTTTTCTTTGAAAAAAGAAGGGTTTTTTATACCACATATTCCATAATATTTGAACAATTCAAACTTCCCCTTGAGGCTTTTGGACCATTCAATACTTTGACGATGAGATTTTGGGGACCACATTTCTTAGGTTATTTTCTTCAGACTTCTATGCCAATGGCATGATCGCTCACTGACATATTTTTAGGATACGTTATGGCATGTGAATGACATTAATATATTTTAAAAAAAGTTACCAATATTTTCATTATTTTTTTAATTATTTTTTAATAGTAAAGAAAAATATAATATAATATTAAGTATAATTTAAAATAATAATAATAAATAATTAATCAAAACAAAGTCAAGTGACTGCATAAAAAAAGGAAAGGGTAATTGTAATAAGCCAATGAGTAACAGTGCGGGGATGTTTTCAACGACTTCCAGTGCCGCTTCTCTGACGCCGTTAATAACCCATTAAGTAAATTATATTCTGTTAATTAATCCGTTTCCAAAAGTATTTAAAGCGCATAATCCACGCTTAATTAAACTCCACGCGCGCCTCCCTCCCATTTCATTTTATCATTTCTCTCACATTTCCCCCTTTTTCTTTTCCTTTCTAAGCTCAGACTCAAATCCTAGGGTTTAAAATTGTTTCGATTTCTCCAAGTTTTGATTTCTTCAGGTATTTTAGGCGTTTATCCTTCGATGGAATCAATTAGATCACCCTATTGGTGCTACAGATGTACCGGTTCATCCAGATCCGGGTCCAATTCCCCCAAGATTCGATCCTTTGCCCCGACTGCGGCAGCAGATTCATCGAAGAATTCGAAACGCCCTCCCGTTCTCCAATTCACCACCATTTCCCCGCCTCCGCTATGTACTCTGAGACGCCCAGCCCAGGTCTCAGCCCCAGTCCTACTGCTACACCTCGTTTCCGCCGAGCTCGAAGGAACGCTGGCGATCGATCCCATTTCAATCCCGTCGTCGTTCTCCGTGGGCCTACCTCCGAATACGACAGCGTAGTTACTGAAAGAGGAAATAACAATTTTTAGCTTTATTATGATGATGGATCAGGGTCGGGTCTTAGTCCCTTACCTCCTAGCATGTCTGACTTTATAATGGGTTCGGGTTTTGATCGGCTTCTTGATCAGTTATCTCAGTTAGAAGTAAACGGAGTTGGCCGTTTTGAGCAACCGCCTGCTTCCAAAGCGGCGATTGAATCAATGCCGGTGGTTAAGATCAGTGGCGGTCTTGTAAGCACGGAATCTCAATGTGCAGTTTGTAAAGAACAGTTCGAACTAGATTGTGAAGCTCGGGAAATGCCTTGTAAACACATTTACCATTCGGATTGTATTTTACCCTGGCTTTCGATTCGGAACTCTTGTCCAGTTTGCCGCCTTGAGTTGCCAAGGGAAAGTAATGGGAACAATTTAAGTGAAAATGAAGCAGCCGATGGACTGACAATATGGAGGTTACTTGGTGGTGGGTTTGCTGTGGGGAAGTTTCCCGGTGGGAGAAGAGCTGCGGAGAGTGAGTTTCCAGTAGTTTACACTGAGATGGATGGTGGGTTTAATAATGCAGCAGGTGCACCTAGAAGGATTTCATGGGCGCCAAGTGGGAGAAGATCACAAGAAAGTGGAGGATTGGGGCGAGTTTTTCGGGGTTTTCTTTCATTTTTTGGGAGGTTTAGGAGCTCCTCATCTCGTTCAGGTTCAGATTCTGGGTTTACGAGGAGAAGCAGAACAACTTCAGTGTTTGGTAGGTCATCTAGGAGAGAGAGCAATTGGAATTTCGAGGATTGAATGGTTGGACAATGGATTCTTTGTTCATTTTTAGGCTAACCTGTTTTCTTTTTATCTGATATTATAATGTGGCAATTTTCAAGAAGGAAGGGAATGTGTGTAGATTGTATGGTTTTACTCAACGTAAATACCGACACTTTGGTGAAGGAATGAAGAACTACTCGAGCTTAGATTTTGTTGAAAGAGAAAGAGGCTTTCATGAGTTGATATGTGCATCAACGAGGAAGAAGTGGAAGAAGAAGTTTTTGTGGTTGGTTAGAATGATCGTTTAGTGGTTCAGGGATTTTCTTGTTTATTTGCAACCCTTAATACAAATTATCGAGTTGTTGACATTGCTTCTTTTCGGTTTTACTTGAGTGGAAGCCAATCCGCACGCAACAACTGGTGTTAACAATCGTTATTGAAGTAATGAAATGTTAATATGCCAGGTTAAACCAGTTAACTTAACACGTTTGACCGACTGTTTTAATTAGTTACAAATCAGTTACTCATTGTTAATAGTCGTTATTGCAGTAATGGAATATTAATGTGCCACGTTAAATCAGCCGACTCAACATGTTAGACCGACCGTTTGACTCTTCTTAAAATGAAGCTCTAGAGTGTTCATGATCCATATCTAGTTGTAACATTTAGCATGTTTGCATTTGAAACTTAAAATCTACTATCTTTTCTAGTTATCCTTTGTTCAAGTTGCATGTTTCATCAAATGAAGTTCCAGAGTGTTCTTGATCCATATCTAGTGGTAACATATAGCATGTTTTTTGCATTTTAATCTTAAAATATGCAATCTTTTCTGGTTATCTTTTGTTCAAATTGCAATCTCAATTAAGCCAAAAGAGAGAGAGAGAGAGAGAGAGAATGAGATTTAGGTTTCATTTGGATACTTTGTAAATCATTGGAAGAACAACATTCAATACATTCAATTCAGTGGCACGAGGAGAGCAATTCATGGTTAATAAGTTCTAAAGACATGGGGCTATAGTAGGTGGAGATTTTAAACTTTAAAAATTTGTTTACACTTTCATAGTAGTATTATGTGTCTATTCAGTAATTAACCTAAAATTGTATTTTTTTTCTCCATTTCCTGACTAAGCTCGTTAGGGACAATTCCAACAACTTTTAAATTAAACTCTTTTATGTTTTTATTCTTTTTCTAGATTTTTTTTCTCGGGAGATTTTTAGAGGAAATTAGAATGGAAAATAACTATGAGTACCTGGTGGAAAGAAATTTTCTACTTCATAATGAACCCAAGAAATGAAGGGAAAAAGGGAACCCTTTTAAACTTTAAATGTATAAGATTTATTAGTAAGTTTAGATGAGATAATAAGACAACATGAATGCAGGGGAGTGAAAGAAGATTTACCCAAAAATAGAGGTTGATGGTGGACAACAACCATGATCAGTGGAGGTGAAGAAAGGGCTGCTCTAGTATTTGGAGTCTGTTGAGGAGGAGGAAATAAAAATTAAGTACTTCAATGGAAAAAACAAAAAATTAATCAAACATTAGTGACCATTTGTATAGTTTACCCTTAATTTTATCATATCAATTCAATTTAGTGGATTTTTTTTATCAATTTGATTAGTAAGCTCAATCTGAAAATAATAAGACCAAAAGGGGCATCGGGGAAAGAAAAAGGGCACGGCACCATCTACAATTTTAGATATATAAAATTATAGAGTTAATATACTAATTGAACTCTGAATTTGGTAATTTGTTTGGACTACTTTGACATTTAGCCTTGATAATTGTTTCCAAGGTGATACCTATACATATACTTTTGAAAGGCAATATATAATAAATTAAGAGCAATTTTATATTAAAATGATTTTAAAAAATTGCGTAATATTTTGAGAATAATGGTTAAATTCAGGTATCGAAATGGTCAAGAAAATAAATGCCATCAGCCATAGGTACCATATTGAGAATAATTCTCAAGTTTAGGCCTTAAAGTGGTAAATGAAGTACTAATTTGAGAAAGAGACTATAAAGTTTAAGGGCAATTGATATATTAAACCAAAATCATAATACAACAATTGTTTCCCAACAGAGACAATCCTCCAAATTAATAGCTTCAACTTTTCCGCAAAACATCATATTTTTTTCAAAAAAAAAAAAGATCAGCTATCAGCAGCAGCGTAAACGCCGACGTCTTTCACGCCGGCGCATCCCCCACTTGCCCGAACATTATATTGTAAGCATCTAAACCATGAGGGAAGGGTCCAGATTTTCCTTCCACGTAGCTGTAGTCGTTTCCATCATCGCTTCTGTTTACTTTTGTACGTTCTTCGTTTTCATTGACCGCTGGTTCGGTCTAATGACCTCCCCTGGTATGATTAACGCCCTCGTTTATACCGCTGTTGCCCTCATGTGTGTGTTTAATTACGCCGTTACCATCTTGGCTGATCCGGGTCGGGTGCCTTCTACTTACATGCCTGACATCGAATATTCCAAAGTTTCTATCCATGAGATCAAACGCAAGGTACGTTCAGCAAATTCCATGTTTTTCCTATGTCTTTTCAGGTTCCTTATTTTTCCTTTCTGATTTTGTGTCTGTATTTCTTTTTTATGTTTTTAACGAAATGATTAATGTTTGCCATTTGGATTTGCTGGAAATGATCAGAAAAATGTTGGGGTTGTTTCATTTTTGGTGATTATTGCATGCAAGTGTCCAGGGATGGTTTGTTTGAACATTTGAGAGGTTAATAGACTTATGTTTTCTGTAGGGAGGGGACTTGAGATATTGCCAAAAGTGTTGTCATTTTAAGCCTCCTCGTGCACATCACTGCCGTATCTGCAAGAGGTGCATTCTGAGATGGTATGTGCAATCTATGCTATTTATTCATGCATGTCTTGAATATCCCTGATAATGTATGTGCTAAACTGCTCTTCTCGGTTTTAAGGATCACCATTGTGTTTGGATTAATAATTGTGTTGGCCATGCCAACTACAAGACCTTCTTCGTCTTCGTCGTATATGCCGTAATCGCTTGCTTCTATTCTCTGGTACGTCCTATCATGATAACACATTTATCTTCACCCTGAGATCTTGAAACCATCATTGGCCGAGTTCTGATGAGGTGTTTTGGTCGTTTTTTCTCCTCTAACCGTCAGGTTTTACTCTTCGGTGGCTTTAATAGCGATTCCCGAATCGAAGAGCAACAGAGAGATTCTTTCATAATCATACATGT